GGCTTTAATGGATGATATTCTTTCCGTGTACCATGCACCCTGTTTTTTTTAAAACGACCCAACATTCACATCACCCAAACACCCCAGTTTGAGTACCATAAAGCAGCCCAGCCCAGCCCAATGTTCACCAGCTTGATGTGGGCTTTAATGGATGATACCATGCACCCTGCGTTTTTTAATCGACCCAACAGTCACCACACCACCCAACCCAGTTTGAGTACCGTAAGCAGCCCCGCCCAACCCAATGCTCACCAGCTTAATGTGGGCTTTAATGGATGATATTCTCTCTGTGTGCCGTGCAACTTGCCTGCATGCACATAGTCACCATGCACATAGTCACCATGCAAAATTGGGGATCTTTGACTCGTCAAGGGAGGAACGGGTATGGGGAGGGGAACTGAGTAAGTGGGGAGGGGGATGGCAGGGGGTTACTAGTTCTTTCCACTATAAGCAATGGGGTTTGGGGGCTGAAGCATGAAGTGGGAGCAGGATGGGGGGTGGGGAGTGGGGGCGGGGAGGTATGGAGAAGAATAGAGGAAAGAATAAAATTTACTATACATGAAAAGAGGGATGTTAAGAAGGGTAAAAAAAACTGGGCAGAATTCAACGATAAAATCACACGCTTGTCATGATACATACATCACGTCCCGTTGCTGTGTGAAGCACCATCACCGCCACTCACTTTCTCAAATGCTCGACCTTGGAGGCGGCAAACTCCTTGGCTTCAAGGCGGGTGAACTCCACGTGGAAGCCCAGCCCCACTGCCACGAATATGTGTGACGTGTCCGGCCTGTGGTCAATGGGAGTCAACGGGAGTTGACAGGGTCAACAGAGTCAACAGAATCTTCAGAGTCAAGACGGGTGAACTCCATGTGGAAGCCCAGCCCCACCGACACGAATATGTGTGATGTGTCTGGCCAGGAGTCAATAGGGTTTAGGAAAATGACATGTTCCCCGAGTGAAACTGATTGAATTCCACGTGGAACCCCAGCCCTACTGCCACGAATATGTGTGACGTGTCAGGCCTGTGGTCAACGGGAGTCAACAGGGTCAACATGATAACAGAGCCCTCAGAGTCAAGGCGGGTGAACTCCACGTGGAAGCCCAGCCCCACTGCCACGAATATGTGCGACGTGTCCGGGCTGCGGTCAATGGGAGTCAACGGGAGTCACCAAGGTGAACAGCGTCAACAGCATCTTCAGAGTCAAGAGAGTCAAGGCGGGTGAATTCCACGTGGAAGCCCAGCCCCAGTGAGACAAATATGTACGACGTGTCTGGCCTGTGGTCAATGGGAGTCAATAAAGTCAAGGATAAACCGGGTGTAATCTACTTGGGAAGCCCAGCGCCACTGAGGTGAACATGTGCGACGTGTCTGGCCTGTGGTCGATGCGAGTCAACGGGAGTCAACAGGTCAACAGGGTCAACAGAGTCACAGCATCTCTGGAGTTAAGCCGGTAAAACACCACGTGGAAGCCCAGGCGCACTGAGACAAATCTGTGATCGTATCTGGGAGTCGTCAACAGGGTCAACAGGGTCAACAGCATCTTCAGAGTCAAGCCAGTGAACTCTACATGAAACCCCAGCCTCACTGACACAAATGCATGTCCCCCAGCACAGTAATGAATTTCTCTCCCCCTCCTCAACCATCAGCACACGTCCCCCCAATTCCCCTCCCTCACACAGCCACACACCCATCCACTCACACGTCTGCCTGCACAAACACCGCTCCCCCCCAGTTGACCATCTCCCTCATCTCCTCCACTCCTGGAACTAGCGCTACACCTCTCCCAACCCATCTGCGCACCTCTCATCCCCACACCCACCCACTCACACGTCTGCCTGCACGAACACGTCTCCCCCCAGGTTGACCATCGCCCTCATCTCCTCCACTCCATTCTCCTCCAGCGCCTCGATATTGCGCACCAGCTCCTCACTGTAACGAGGATAAAACATCATGTATGATGACTCATGCTGAATGGATCATGTATTGTGTGTGACATGGATAGCACACATTGAGGATGAATGAAGGAAGTACTGAGAGCGAATCGAGTATGATGGGACAATAGATGGGAATGCAATACGTGCGAAAAAATGCAAGAATCGGGCTTGAGGCAGTCTAGAATATACAATTTGCCATGCTATGATGTATATGCAGTAGACAACGCAACCCTAAAAAGGGAAAAAACTGGCAAGGCAGGGATCGGTGGAAAAGGGGGGGGCAGGAGAGAGGGTGGGGGAGAAGGGGGAGGGGAGGGGAAGCGAGAGCGCACTAGACTTGCATTGTACTTGCATTGTACTTGCATTGTACTTGCATTGTACTTGCAGGTGCTGTTATTAGTAAACAGGTGTACTTGCAGGGTGTTTTTGAGAATTCTCAGAAACACCCTGCAACTCCAAGGAGAGGCGAGAGGATTTGAGGGGAAGAAAGAGCGTACAAGACTTGGATTTCTTCTTGGACCTTGTGCCTGCGGATACCGCCATGCACTCTCGCACGGGCACGCACACTCACACACACACACACACACACACACACACACACACACACACACACACACACACACACGCACGCACGCACGCCCGCACGCACGCGCGCACGCACACACACACACACAAACACACACACACACACATATACACACACGTACAAGCACTCGAACACGCACACACATTCTCACACGCACACGATCACTCACACGTGCACACATGCACGCACACACATACGTCACAGCACACATGCCTTCACAAACCCACACGCATTGTCACAGCACACAAAGGCACCAGAATCGGCATAGAAGGAGACATGAATGGCCCATGAGGTCTCAGCGTGAATAGAAGCGCAACAATCACACACGGATGCCTATTCATGTCTCCTTCATCACAATCACACACGGATGCCTATTCATGTCTCCTTCATCACAATCACACACGGATGCCTATTCATGTCTCCTTCATCACAATCACACACGGATGCCTATTCATGTCTCCTTCATCACAATCACACACGGATGCCTATTCATGTCTCCTTCATCACAATCACACACGGATGCCTATTCATGTCTCCTTCATCACAATCACACACAGATGCCTATTCATGTCTCCTTCATCACAATCACACACGGATGCCTATTCATGTCTCCTTCATCACAATCACACACGGATGCCTATTCATGTCTCCTTCATCACAATCACCACAAAGTAGCCTAGTCTTGTTCTGATGTGAATTCCCATGCGAACTCTGATCCAAGGACGCGGGGTGGCATCTGAACTTGGCGAGGGCCAACCAGCGAATCAGACTCCCAGGAGTCGACCAAGCAGCGTATAGGCAGAACAGGAGCAAATCAGGACCTCGTTGCACGCAAGCTCCCTCCAGCGTCATACAAGGATGCTCGTCAAATTCGACTTGCTCCCTCGCTGCGTAGCAGCTCCTCCCCCCCTTTTTTTTCCCTCCCTACCTTCCCAGTCATACATTTCGATAAGCGGCAGCAATGGCATACAAACACGCGCACACGCACCTGTCCTCCATCGCTGCCTGAAAATCGACCTTCAGCCGCTCCTCCACGAACCGCTCGTACTCCGCCACCTCCGCCCCCATATCCCCGTTACAAGCTGTCTCAGTATAACACACGCACCTATCTTCCATCGCTGCTTGTAAATCCACTTTCAACCGCTCCTCCACGAACCGCTCGTACTCCGCTACCTTCGCCACCGGTTCCCCTTTACAAGCTGCCTCAATAATACCCACACACTCACGCACCTGTCTTCCATCGCTGCCTGTAAGTCCACTTTCAATCGTTCCTCCACAAATCGCTCGTACTCCGCCACTTTCGCCGCGGTGCCATCGCTGTCCCTCGCTCTCGCGCTCGTGCTGACGTCAGCGCTCTTGCTCTTGCTGCTGCCCTCGGCGATCGGTTGGGTGCTGACGTCAGAAGCCTGCTGGCCGAGTCGCGATCGCCGATAGGTAGTGCTCTTAGCTGCCGGCATCATCTGCTGATTACTCGCTGGATTGACTATTCGCGATAGTGAGTGTGTCGGTATGAAAGCAGTGATGCCAGGACACGTATCTGATGTGGAGCAAATACATATGTGATTTGTTGAAGTACTGTACCACCAGGAAACAGTTGTGTAGTCGTTGTTGGGGGGAGACGAGAGACGAGCAGTGTTGGAAGAGAAAGAATGTTTGGCGAGAATTTTTGGTTAACGAGTGAGTTAACTGGGTACTTTATTTCGTGAAAGGATCGGAAAGCTTTTCGTCGAAACAATGCGCCCTGACGAAACAAGCTTTTCGTGAAAGGATCGGAAAGCTTCAGGTTGACTTTTGTGGCTCTGCTAGCCCTGCGAGTGAATGCCAAGCGTTACTTTGCTTTGCACGCAGTCGTTGGACGTCGCTTTTATGAAATAATTCGTCCGTTCTCGCCTCGGCTTTCGTGACAGACGGCAGGAGTTCGTCATGGAAGCCTGGAGAGTGCTTCGCTGAGTTCGTCTATGGTGTTCGCCTCTGTTGGAGATCCCAAGGTCCGAAACCAAGGTAACACCGTCCCCTTGATGCGACTTTAGATTCTCTTTGACCTGATTGGTTACAACAACTCGGCTGACTTGGCTCCTCGTTTCTTGGTCTCTCTTTCCCCTCCGCTGGGTCCATGGTGGATCCGTGCCAAGGCTGAATTGTGTCTGATGGTGTGGCAAGACTGGAAGTGTTATCTCCACCTCCCGTAAATCTGCATATTATTGCGGGTTCCGAGACGTCTCGAAGGGTTCACCTAGCTTGTCTCTCGTGTAGCTGTAAAATATTACGGCATTGAGACTATAGCTGTCACAACGGTTTCGAGACGCCTCAAAACTCACTGTGACCATCGCCACTACGATTTTCTAAACAAAACAGCTGACTCGGTATTATACGTTCCACAGCATCTGTTTCATACATATTCATTGTACAATATATTAGAAAAATCATGTCCACACCGAAAAGTTCCGAGCAGCTAGCTATGCTAAGCAAAGCGCAAATGCCGGCGGGATTATCGGGATCCAGCCCGTCTCCTAGTCCGGTGGAGCACAGCTTAATTCCAAACGAGGAGAAGCGGGAGGCCGATGGCGACTGCAGTGGCAGCGATGATGACGTGGAAAGCGTGGAGGATGACGTGTATGTCGGTCACCGCCATAAACAGTCTCGTCGTTCGATCCTTTCGGGACGGCTCGGGACGTTCGCTGCGATGGTCATGGCCGTCGCGTTCTTCTCAGGTCAGCTTCTTGCCAGCCTGCCAGCCTGATTTGCCTGCTCTTTTAGCAACGACCACTAATCCATGATGCCGGGAGCGGACTTCCTCGCGCACAGCACATGCCTGCAAGCCCGACCTGGCCGTTCGCCACGATGGCCATGGCCGCCGCGTTCTTCTCAAGTCCGCGTCTGATACCTGTCCGCTCCCGCTCCCCCGCGCTGGACGTACGAGGAAAGCCCTCCCCCCAATCCTTGCCTCTCACGCTGTTCCACTCCTCTCATCCCATCCCATCTCATCCCATCCCATCCCATCCCACCCCATCCCATCCCATCCCATCCCATCCCATCCCATCCCATCCCATCCCATCCCATCCCATCCCATCCCATCCCATCCCATCCCATCCCACCCCTCTCCACCCCGCCCTCCAGTGGTCCTGGGGTTCGCCCTCGCCATCTTCCTCACGTCCCACTCGCACGCCTCCTGCTCCTCCGCATTTGACGGGGGCGGGGGCCCTCCGCCCTCCCCCACAGGCGCGCTGGACGGGCAGCCCACGGTGATCCTCGTGTCGTTTGACGGGTTCAGACACGGGTACCACCTGAAAGCTGACACACCGAATTTGAATAGGTAAGGGGGCACGTGTGGGAAGTGTAGCAAGTGTGGGAGGGCAGACATGGGAGGGCAGCCCACGGTGATCCTTGTGTCGTTTGATGGGTTCAGACATGGGTACCACCTCAAGGCTGGCTCTCCGAATCTGAACAGGTACAGGGCCACGTCTGGGAAGTGTGGTAAGTGTAGGAGGGCAGGCATGGGAGGGCAGGCATGGGAGGGCAGGCATGGGAGGGCAGGCATGGGAGGGCACGCATGGGAGGGCACGCATGGGAGGGCAGGCATGGGAGGGCACGCATGGGAGGGCACGCATGGGAGGGCACGCATGGGAGGGCACGCATGGGAGGGCACGCATGGGAGGGCACGCATGGGAGGGCACGCATGGGAGGGCACGCATGGGAGGGCACGCATGGGAGGGCAGCCATGGGGGGCCAGCCCACGGTGATTGTCGTGTCCTTTGACGGGTTCAGACATGGGTACCACCTCAAAGCCGACACTCCAAGTCTGAACAGGTAGGCGTGGGTGTGTGGAAGGGCAAGCATGGGTGGCCAGGCGCGCTAGGAGGGCAGCCCACGTTGATCCTCGTGTCTTTTGACGGGTTCAGGCACGGGTACCACCTGAAAGCCGACAGTCCACACCTGAACAGGTAGGAAGACGGTGTGTGGCATAGGATTGGCCAGGCAGGCAGGGAAGGTGCGCGCTGGGAGGGCAGCCCACAGTGATCCTCGTGTCGTTTGACGGGTTCAGGCACGGGTACCACCTCAAGGCTGACACACCGAATCTGAACAGGTAGGAGAAAGGTGTGGGAAGGTAAAGTGTGGGAAGATGAGGCATGGGAGCGCAGCCCACAGTGATCCTCCTTGGGTCCTATGATGGGTCCAGGCACGGTTACCACCTGAAAGCGGACACACCGAATTTGAACAGGTCGGCGGAAGGTGTGGGAGACAGGTTTGGGAGGGCATGCATGGAATGGAAGCACAGGCGCGCTGGGAGGGCATGCATGGAAGCACAGGCGCGCTGGGAGGGCATGCATGGAAGCACAGGCGCGCTGGGAGGGCATGCATGGAAGCACAGGCGCGCTGGGAGGGCATGCATGCATGGAAGCACAGGCGCGCTGGGAGGGCATGCATGCATGGAAGCACAGGCGTGCTGGGAGGGCATCCCACGGTGACGGGTTCGACATGGGTACGACCTCAAAGCCAACGCACCGAATTTGAACAGGTTGGCTGGTGTGTGTGGAAGGGCAAGCATGGCGGGCAGGCATGTCAGGGCACGCATGGGAGGACAAGTCTGGGAGGGCAGCCCACAGTGATCCTCGTGCCCTCTGATGGGTTCAGACACGGGTACCATCTTAAAGCCTACACTACTCATCTGAATAGGTTGGGGGGGGGTGTGAAAGGGCACGCATGGGAGGACAAGTCTGGGAGGGCAGCCTACAGAGATCCTCGTGTCCTCTGATGGGTTGCGACATGGGTACCATCTTAAAGCGGACACAACCCATCCGCCTACGCATGGGGAGTTAGTGGAAGGAAACACATGCATGGGTGGCCAGCCCGCACTTGGTCGGCTTTAAGATGGTACTCTGCTCTATACCACCTGCACATCAGGATGCTAGCTGAAGGAACATTCGCAGAGCACGGGTCGCTATCATGCCACCCGTTTTCCCCTCCGTAGCCTTCCCCTCGCACCACTCCATGGCCACGGGCCTGCTCCCCAACCCCTTTCTCCACCCTCCCCCATTTGCACTGTCCCTCAGGATGCTGGCAGAAGGTACATTCGCAGAGCATGGCATGCTGCCCGTCTTTCCCTCGCTCACCTTCCCCTCGCACCACTCCATGGCAACGGGCCTCCTCCCTGCATCGCATGGCATCATCGCCAACAAGTTCCGCCTCCCCTCCAACCACAGCGACGTGTTCTCACCAGGGAATGTCGACCCCAGATGGTGGCTGGGCGAACCCATCTGGACCACTGTGAACCGGCAGGTGAGGGGGTGGGGAGGGCAGGGGGAAAGGTCAGGGGTGTGGGGAATCAACACCAACAAGCTCCACAACCCCTCCAACCACAGCGACGTGTTCTCGCCTGGGAATGTTGAACCCAGATGGTGGCTGGGCGAACCCATCTGGACCACTGTGAACCGGCAGGTAAGGGGAAGGGGAAGGGCGTTGAAGAGGGATGAAACAGGAGAGGGAAAGGCAAGGGGTGTGGGGTATTCTGGCAAACAAAGTTCCGCCTCCCCTCCAACCACAGCGACGTGTTCTCGCCTGGGAATGTCGACCCGAGATGGTGGCTGGGCGAACCCATCTGGACCACTGTGAACCGGCAGGTGAGGGGAAGGGATTTTGAGACGCCTCAAAAGTAGTCATAGTTGCCAACTCCTTCCCCCTTCCTGCCAGCCACTGCACCTGTTTCTCTCCATTTGATGGCTGGGCGAACCCATCTGGGCCACAGTGAACCGGCAGGTGAGGGGAAGGGGAAGGGCGTTGAAGAAGGGAGCAACAGGAGAGGGAGATGTAAGGGGCGTGGGCCATCGTGTTCTCTCCATTTGATGACTGGGCGAACCCATCTGGGCCACAGTGAACCGGCAGGTGAGGGGGTTGAAGGGGTTCGGACCAGGTGCGATTTCAACTGGTCCCACAGCCACTTGTTCTAGCCGGAGAGCATTAAGACGATTTTTTTAGACTACTCTCACTTGTTCACGCCTTCCCCCTTTCCAGCCTTCCCTCCTTCCTCTCACTTTTCCTCCCCTCCCCTCTTCCCCCATTCCACATTGCCTCCTTCTCTCCTTCCTCCCTTCCCCAATGCCCCTTCTCCCCTTCCCCCCTTTCACCCGTCTCCCCTTCCCTTTTTCCCCTTTTTCCCCCTTTCCCCTTCGCCCATCCCCCCTTCTTCCCCTCTCCCCTGTCGGCCTTTCGCTTTCTGCTTTTCTGGTTGTTACTTTTGCAGGGCTTGCAGGCGGCAACAGTGTTTTGGCCGGGTTCTGACGTGTCGCGACCTGATTGGCCGTGCCCGTCAGACTACTGCCTGCAATACAACGAGTCGATGCCATTTGAACAGGTTGGTGGGGGTGGAAGGCGTGAGGAGGGGGGGACCAAGAGGGGGAAGATGGAGAGATGGGGGGGAGGGAAGGGTGCATGTCTGACCATGCGTGTCTGACCATGCGTGTCTGACTATTGCCTGCTGGTTAGCTGACTTTCTGGCACCTCCCCGCACAGAATTGAGGTCGTTTTTGAGGCGCCTCAAAAACGACCACCATGCGTGTCTGATCTGACTAATTCCTGCTGGTAAGCTAACCTGCTGGCACCTCCCCGCACAGCAAGTAGACCAGGGATTGCTGTGGCCGGACCTCCCCACACAGCAAGTAGACCAGGGATTGCTGTGGCCGGACCTTCCCTCTTCCCTCTGTCCCCCCTCCCTCGCGCCATCATCGCTCTACCTCGACGAGCCCGATGAAAGCGACGAGGCGATGAAAGTGATGGGACGATGAAAGTGATGAGATGATGAAAGTGATGAGGCGATTTTTTAGTCGACTCAAAAATCGCTCTACCTAGACAAGCCCGATGAAAGTGGCCACAAGAGAGGTCCTTTCGTCCACTCACGTCTCCTCCTGGCCCCCTCACCCCCACTCCCCCCCCCTCTCCCTCCCCCTCACACAGCGAGTGGACCAGGTGCTGGCATGGCTGGACCTGCCTGCGCCCCTCCGCCCCTCCTTCCTCTCACTCTACTTGGAGGAGCCAGACGAGAGTGGGCACCTGGGAGGCCCGGACACGCCTCTGGTTGCTGCTGCTGTGAAGCGGGTCGATGGCATGCTAGGGCGCCTCTTGACAGGGCTTGATCAGAGGTGAGCGGGTGAGATGGCCGATGGGAGTGACTACCTGGGAGGCCCGGACTCGCCGCTGGTTGCTGCTGCTGTGAAGCGGGTCGATGGCATGCTAGGGCGCCTCTTGACAAGGCTTGATCAAAGGTGAGTGGGTGGGAGTGGGGAGAGGGCGAGAGTGACAGATGGGAGGGCCACAAGGGATGCCCGGGACACGCCGCTGGTTGCTGAGGCAGTAAAGCGCGTTGATGGCATGCTGGCGCGCCTCTTGACAGGGCTGGACCAGAGGTAGGTAAGCGGGTGAGATGGGTGATGAAAGTGACTACCTGGGAGGCACGGACACGCCGCTGGTTGCTGAGGCAGTAAAGCGCGCTGATGGCATGCTGGCGCGCCTGTTAACGGGGCTGGATGAGAGGTGAGTGGGTGGGGTATACGGAATAGAGTGGGGCGATAGGAGGGTGGGCACCTGGGAGGCTCGGACACGCCCCTGGTCACTTTTGAGTCGACTCAAAAGTCACCTCGTTTTGAGTTGACTCAAAAGTCACCTTGGATCGGAGGTGAGTGGGTGGGGTAGACGGAATAGAGTGGGGCGATAGGAGGCTGCGCACCTGGGAGGCTCGGACACGTCCCTGGTCGCTGCTGCTGTGAAGAGCATTGATGACATGCTGGGGCGACTTTTGACTGGGCTGGATGGATGGCAGGCGCGGTGAGGCAGCGGGGAGGTAAGGTTAGAGCTTCTGAGAATTCTCAAAAGCGGGATGGTAAGGTCGGGGCTGGTGGTGGTGAGAGAGCAGACGAGAGTGGGAGAGACGAATGGGCGGGTGCAAGGGAGGCCCGGACACGCCTCCGGTTGCTGCTGCTGTGAAGCGCGTTGATGACATGCTGGGGCGACTTTTGACTGGGCTGGATGGATGGCAGGTGCGGTGAGGCAGCGGGAAGGTAAGGTGGGAGCTGGTGGTGGTGGTAGTGGGGAGAGAGCAGACGAGAGTGGGAGAGACGAATGGGCGGGTTCAAGGGAGGCCCGGACACGCCTCTGGTTGCTGCTGCTGTGAAGCGCGTTGATGGACCCCCATCCCTGTCAACTCCCCTCCATCCACTCCCTCCCGTCCAACCCCCCCCCCACCTCACCCCACCCCCTCTTTTCCGTCCATGAACTTCCTTGTAAGAGCATAACCAACGACGTGAATGTGCTGCCAGTGAGCGACCATGGCATGCTGGCCACATGCAAGTCGCGCGTCATCTCTCTGGAGCAATTCGAGCCGTTCATCCCGGGCCTCTCCCGTCTCTCAGCCCCTTTGAGAAGCATGTGCCAGCAGCTTCCGTCCCTTCCACCTGCCTCTGAAGCCCCCCTCCCAACATCCTTTCCCGTTTCCCAAATTTATTCCCTCCCCCTCAACTTCCTTATAGGAGCATGACCAACGATGTGAATCTGCTGCTAGTGAGCGACCATGGCATGCTGGCCACATGCAAATCGCGAGTCATCTCCCTGGAGCAGTTCGAGCCGTTCATCCCCGGCCTCTCCCCCGCTTGGATCGACTTCAGCTACCCGCTTCTCGGCATCTTCCTCCCGCAAACAGACGCGCAACGCCGCCCGGGGTCTGCCGGCCAGGACTTTCGGATGGATGCGGCAGCAGTCGTGGGGGCTATGAGGAGGGCGATTGAAGGGGGGGGCATTGTGAATGGAGAGGCGCTGAAGGTGTATTTGAGGGAGGAGTTTCCTGCGGAGTTTGAGTTTTCGGGAAGCGACAGAATACCAGTAAGTTCTAGGGCGTCTCAAAAGGTGGTGGTGGTGGAGGTGGGGGCGATCAGGAAGGCGATGGAGGGGGGGAGCATTGATTCGTGTTGATCTTGCATGACTCCTTAACGATTCTTCACAGCTCGTTGTCTGGTCAGAGTGACAATCTGCGTAACGTATCGAACCATCTTCTTATTGTGTGTGATAAGTCACATCTTTTGTCCGAGCTGCATGTTGTATCTACCCAAGCTCCTCCTAATCTCTCTACAACGCCTCTCACCCTTAACCATTTCCGCTTTTGCCAGGCTATCTTGGCGCTGGCAGATGAGGGCTACTCGGTGGTATACCACCACTCGTCAGCATGGGATGGGGGCATGCACGGCTACGACAACCGCCTTCCCTCCATGCGCTCCATCTTCATGGCCCGAGGGCCGCGCTTCGCCTCCCACCGCAGAATACCCACCTTCAGGAACACAGAGGTGAGATTTCAGAGAATGTTCTTAGGGTGGCTAGACAGCGCAACAACAGGTTAAATCGTTTAGGTGATTGGAAAATCTATAGGTGACTATGAGTTGCCAGAGAATGTTGAAACGTGGGTTCAATCTTCAGGAGGATGCACACATGCGTGGACGAATCTTCGGTGATTGTTCAACGATGAATATGAGTCTTCATTTTCCCCAACCTTCATCTCTCTCTACCCTTCATCCTCTCAACCCTTCATCCTCTCAACCCTTCATCCTCTCTACCCTTCATCCTCTCTACCCTTCATCCTCTCAACCCTTCATCCTCTCAACCCTTCATCCTCTCAACCCTTCATCCTCTCAACCCTTCATCCTCGCTACCCTTCATCCTCTCAACCCTTCATCCTCTCAACCCTTCATCCTCTCAACCCTTCATCCTCTCAACCCTTCATCCTCTCAACCCTTCATCCTCTCAACCCTTCATCCTCTCAACCCTTCATCCTCTCAACCCTTCATCCTCTCTACCCTTCATCCTCTCAACCCTTCATCCTCTCAACCCTTCATCCTCTCAACCCTTCATCCTCTCAACCCTTCATCCTCTCAACCCTTCATCCTCTCTACCATCATCTCCTCCCCATATCCATCGCCTGCATCCCTGCAGCTGTACAGCGTGATAACAAGCATCTTAAACATTGAGCCTGCCCCGCACCCAATAATGGACCCTTTATTTTCCTTCATCGCTCTCGTTTTAGTCGACTCAAGAGGTCGACTCGAATGTGATAACAAGCATTCTAAGCGATGAGCCTGCCCCGCACCCAACAATGGACCCTTCATTTTCCTTCATCGCTCTCTACCCTTGGTATCTCGCCATCGTGCATTTCTCTCTATGCATCCTACCGCCCCGTCCAGCTGTACAATGTGATTAGAAGCATCTTGGAGATTGAGCCTGCACCCAACAATGGATTCTTTATTTCTCTTTCCTTCATCTCTCTCTACCCATCTTACTGCCCCATGCAGCTGTACAATGTGATAACAAGCATCTTGGAGATTCAGCCTGCATCCAACAATGGGTCCTCGTCTTTTCCAGACACTATACTAGTCTAACGCTGGGCTACACTCTTGGGGCTACAATCTTGGGGCTACACTCTTGGGGCTACACTCTTGGGGCTACACTCTTGGGGCTACACTCTTGGGGCTACATCACTCTCAGGGGCTACACCTTTCGAGCTACACTCTGAGGGCCTACACAAATAGGACGCGTCAACTCCCATCAGATTGGCACGATCGATCCTGCGCAGGATCGAATTTTGATGGCTTTTAAAATGGTCTGGAAAGTTTTGAACTCTAGTAGCAGGTTTCCAGTGCGGTGTCTGATTGAAATTGCACGATCGATCGCCTAATTCAGCGGGAGTTGACGCGTCCTTACCTTAGCGTCATGCACTCTCGAGGCTACGCTGTGGAGGCTACACTTTCGAGAGAGCACTTTCGAGGCTTCATCAACCCACAGTTGATATCCTTATAAGAAAACACTGCAACTGATGTTCCAATTCAAATTGACTCCACAGTCAAACCCTAGCAAATCGTTCCATGCTTCAGGCAAGTGTCTAATCCAACCCAACCCAATTCAAGCTCGAGTAGCAACCTGCCAGAAATCGACTCCAAAAATCAATGGAACAAAACCACATGGAGCGCCACCGCAGCAAGCGCAGCAGGCCACCATCCCCACCACGCTCCACCCCTAAGCACCAAACTCAACCCCGCGCTCTTTTCCCCAGAGCCTGTAGTGTTTGATGTTGAATCAGTGGGAGTTGAACCAGTGGGAGTTGAACCAGTGGGAGTTGAACCAGTGGGAGTTGAACCAGTGGGTGCTGCCGAACCACTGGGCGTCGAACCATTGGTTGCCGAACCATTGGTTGCCGAACCATTGGCATTGGTCCCGTTGGGCGCCGGAACAGAGGGTATTGGCTCAGGCACAAAATTTCCAGGATTGTTTGAAGTCGCAGCACACGTGGCAGGCACAGCCCGGTCCACCACCCACGGAAGCACTTCTGACACGTTAGAGAATTTCGGGTTTTTCGGGCACTCCATGGGGAAACCCGTTAGTTTATCGCAGCAGAGGGGGGTTTGCGCGTATTTATCCCCTGGCGCTGTCAGGAAGCAACTGTCCGTTCCGTTTTCGGCGGGAACTAGCTCGGTGTTGAGGGTGTTTAGGGGGGTTGCGGTGCCGGCAAGCGGAGTCACGACGAGTGACAGAAATTTCTGAAAAGAATGTGCAAGGATTCGCAGGCAGAGAGGGGGGAGGCGGGGGGAAGGGAATGGGGGAGGGAGGGGGAGGCAGGGGGAAAGGAAATGGGAATGGGTCAGAAAGCTACAGGACGGGGGATTTGAACGTATGCAAGGGGTGTTGCCGCACCAGCAAGCGGAGTGACAACCAGTGACATAAATTTCTGGGAGGACAGCATGTGCAGGATTTTGAAGAGTGAGGGAAGGGGAGAGGGTGGGGGGGGAAGGGGTGAGGGTTTGAGGGGACGGGGAGGAGTACAAGGGGAGGGGGGAAGGGAATGGTAAGAAAAACATGATTGGAAGGTGTTGGCGAATGTGTGGCAGGACATGTCCTGTAATTGATAAAGTACCAGCAAGCGGGGTCACAATGAGTGACAGGGATCTTTGGGAAGACAGAGTGCGTACGATTTATTTCAGGGAGAGGGAAGGGGATAAAGGGGAGATGGAGGTGGAGGAGTGGCTGGGGTAAGGGGAAAAGAGAGATAGTTATAGTTGAGAGGTGCTGAGAAATGCGTGGGGGTTTGCAGAGAATAAAATTATGTGGGTACAAAATTGGACAGCGGAGGGGAAGAGGAAGCGGCAACGGAGGGCGAAAGCAAATGGTCAGAAAATCATTAGTGAGAAGGAGGTGTTAGGAAATGTGATGGAAAATGAAGTGACGGCAGAAGAAGGCACAGAGTGTAGGCTTGAAGGGAGAGAGAATAAAATTATGTGGGTACAAAATTGGACAGCGGAGGGGAAGAGGAAGCGGCAACGGAGGGCGAAAGCAAATGGTCAGAATATCATTAGTGAGAAGGAGGTGTTAGGAAATGTGATGGAAAATGAAGTGACGGCAGAAGAAGGCACAGAGTGTAGGCTTGAAGGGAGAGAAATGGTCAGAACAACAGAGGCTGAGGGAGGGGAAAGGAGGAGGCGGGCAGGGGAAATGGGGAAGGGGGGAGGAAGGGTAGTTGGGGGGAGTGGGGGGAGGAGGGGGGGTGTTGGGGAATGTGAAGGGGATGTAGCGCCAGTAAGAGGGGTCCATGACTCTCTAGAGTGATCGTTGGGAGGACATAGACGGGTAACGGAACCGCGTATCGCAGCCAGAAAGGAGAAATCGGATAGCTGGACAACGAATTCGCAGTTACATTTGTGGGGAAAGTTGGTTCGGTTCGGGTGAAACTACAATTGGTAGCTGCAGCACGTACCGAAGGGTTCTTAAGCAAGCTCGCGATGGTGAGCGGCTGGTAAAGAGACGACTTTTTAGGCGGCACAAATACACATACCGCGGGGTTTTTAATCAAGCTGGCGATGGTGAGCGCGACGCCGGGGAACGCGAGCGACTGGCACGCGTCGTACACGCGGTTCGAGAAGTCGTTGCAGATGCGGATCGTGCCGTTGCTGTCCGCGAGCTTCCCCGACGGCGCGAGCTCGAACGAGAGGTACTTGCTCGCGCCCGGGTCGCACATGATGGCGCAGTAGAGCCCCTCAATCAGCTGCAGACACGTGTCGCTTCCGCCCGCCAAGAATCCGCAGAACTGGTGGGGGGAAGGGCGCGGGGGAAGGGCGCAGAGAAGGGTTTTTTTCTGAGAGGTCGATCGGGAGGTACTTGCTCGCGCCTGCATCGCACGTGATGGCATAGTAGAGTCCCTCAATCAGCTGCAGACACGTGTCGCTCCCGCCTGCGAGGAACCCGCAAAACTGGAAGAGGCGAAGAACGAGGTGAGGGTAGGGGGGAGAGAGAGGGGGGTGATTCTGAGAAGTTGGTACTTCCACGTGCCGTCAAACAGTATCGCGCAGTAAAGCCCTTTGAACTCGGGTGGAGGGGGGAGGGGGAGGGGGGGAGGAGGGGGGGGGAAGGGGAGGGGGTTGGGGGAGGGGGTTGGGGGAGGGGGGGAAGGGGAAGAAGAGGCGGGGATGGGGGGGGGGGGTTGTGGGTTGGGGGCGGGGAGGGAGGGGGGAGAGGAGGACGATGCATGCGATGAACCAGGTATAGGATGAAACGCGTTAACGCGGATTTTGAAAAATTTACAAAACCGCCTACAAAACCGATCCTTTATTTACATTAAAAAAAAGGGTACCAAATTCATTGTAATGCTCCTTTTAAATTGGCTCGGAACCATCATAGCAAGACGCCATTGAGTGGCCAGAAAGCTGGGCAATGTAACGCTGGTACAAAAGGATCAAAAGACGAACACGATGATTCAAGCTTACTGGCGTGGCCTTAAATTTGTCCAGAACTTCAAATGTTCTCGATATATTAATTTAATATATAATATTTGCGAAATTTAATGAAATAGGAAAAAGGCGCACGCTGGTTCAAGCTTACCGGCGTGGCCTTGAACTTGTCCAGCGCTTCAAATGTGGTGCCTGGAGAGAAGAGCGTGGACAGGATTCTCGTTCCGTTCTGTCCGAGCACCGTCGCCGCGGTGACCCAGTCGTCGCACGCGGAGCAGCACGCGAGCTCGCTCTCAGCCACGCATCGGTACAGCGGCTTCACGGGCTTCGTTGGCGGCTTGCCTGTGAACGGACAGATCTGCTGCGCGGACGCAACGACTGCGAGCAGGAGTAACGGGATGGCGAACGACAGAATGCCGCGAGGCACGGCGCGGGTCATGGTTCCGCAGGTGCAGGGGGAAACAAGCAATACAAAGTGTTCAAAACCGGTACAGCTCAATTTTTAATCTGAGAGCTACGAAGGCGCGAACCTGAACCAGCTGAACATAAGGATTTTGAGCTGAAAATATGGGAACAATGGCTATGTAGGGGATTGTGAGAGGCACGGGCGAGGACCTCGAGTGTCCTTGTCTGAAGGATCAGGCAAACCTTCCTTTCCCACACGCCTGTGCTTTTCTTATGGCTGCTTTCATTCCCCCACAGGCGCACCCATTTTGGTCTTGATCTTCCGAAACCTGGTCCCCCGATTCCTAGAGATTGACGTGTCGCTGATGAGACCAGCCACGTCCGAACCGAACTGACTAGCTTTGGCGCCTGGGCTCCACACACCGAACGTAACACACTAGCCTCTCCCCTCACCAGCCGAGATTCTTTGGCGGCTGGACGATTAGGTTCGGGATGTTGTGGGTCAGATATCTACACAGCCTTGGTGAGGTGAGTGCGCAGAGCAGTTGGCTCGGAAAAGGCAACCAGAGACGGAGCTCCGGCTAGGCAGACGTGGCTCGTAGCCACCTTCCTCAGCTTGGAAGCGGCTTGTGGCGGGGCGCGCTGGAGAAATCGGTGGGCGGTGCTTGCTGCAAGGCGAGGCAAAAGCATGCTCTCCAATTGGCTGGCTTGACCGAAGGGAGTTTGCAGCGCATGCAAAATCTTGAAATAAACGTGTACACGCATTATGTGGCTTCGAGCAGCACTTACAATACTAAGATTCAATATTTACATCAACACTTCCTAGTTGCTACTACTCTGGTGCAATCTTTCTTAATCTTTCTAGCAATTGCTTTGTGGTGGGTCGGCTTCCCCAATCAGGCTGAATCGCATCACATATCGCAAACACCACCACTCGCACCTCCTCCTCGCTCCACTGCCCCTCCAGACTCTTGTCCACCACTTGGGAGTAGTCTGAGAGATTGGGATCGGTGGCGAGGTTTTGCAGTTGTGAAAACGGTCGGTCATTTACACAGCAGCCCGAGAGGAGTTCCAGCAAGAAGATGCCCCACGCAAAGGTGTCACAGTGCTCTGTCAGTAAGCCTGGTGGGTGGTGAGTAGGGGAAAGGAGGGGAGGGTAGGGGGATTTTCAAGTCGACTCAAAGGTCGCAGCAGCTCAAGAGGAGTTCTAGCAGGAAAATGCCCCACGCGAAGATGTTACAGTGCTCTGTTAGTAAGCCTGATAGGTGGTGAGGTGGGGGGAAGGGGAGGGGAGGGGAGGGGAGGATAGCGGAGGGTAGGGGACGGAACAGGAGGGGAGGGGAGGGTTGGAGGGGGGAGGTTGGAAGATGATGGTGACAGCACCAGTGCCAGCTCCAGCGGTGGCAGTAGGCCTTTTACGCAAGAAGGCTCTTTTCAAGACAAGGCGTTTTTGAGATCTGCTTTTTTACCACTATTTTCTCACGGTTGATCCTGTTGCTCAAGCGTCGCCTTCACGTACTGCTGCCCTTCAATTACGAGTCAAGAAGTGCCAGCACCAGCGGTGGCAGTAGTAAAGGCACCCGAAGAAGAAACACAGATGCACCGGTGGGCTGAAAAGGACCTCACCTGTCTCAAAATACGAAGGTTCGATGTAGCCCTGCGATCTTTGAGACGTCTCAAAAAAGTAGTGTGAAGTGCCCAGAGGATGAAAGACAGATGCATTGGTAAACTGGAAGGCACCCCACCTGTCTCAAAATACGAAGGGTTGATGTAGCCCTGGGAGCCGGCGACGTGATAAAAGTCGGGTTTTGAGACGTCTCAAGAAACACAGATGCATCGGCGGGCGGAAAAGCACCCCACCTGTCTCAAAGTATGAGGGGTCGATGTAGCCCTGCGAGCCGGCCACTCGTGTCGTGACATGTGTCCTGTCCTGGCATGTCTTGGCTAACCCAAAATCCGCCACCTTTGGCACGAGGTCCTGGGAGGGCACATGCAATAGAGTGACACAAAAGGTCGAAAAGGAAAAAAAGAGAGGATATTTTGCCATCTGGGAGGGAGTCAGAGCTTGGTGAGAAGCACGTTGGCATGAGTCACCTTGGTTTGATGCACATTACCAGGACTCCACTGCCTTAGAAGCTCATTCAAAGGATATTCGTTAGACGCACATTGAGTGACTCATTTTGGCATGACCCACCTTCGTTAGAAGCACGTTGGCAGCTTTGAAATCACGGTGGATAAAGCCCTCCTTGTGGATCGCTGCTAGCCCTGCCACACTCCCCACCGCTATGCTCAGCCGGTCCTTCCAGGGAAAGGGCTCTATGCCCTTGGCTGCTGCTTGCACACCCAACAGACAAAAGAGAAGGGAGGGGGGTGGGAGAAGGAGAGAGACAGAAAAGGGTGGGGGAAAAGAGAGTATGTGCACCGCATCACACCATGCCACACCACACCTCACAACATCGCACCTGGCGCTCCTTCTCAATCTCCTACGACACAGCCGAGAGGCAGTGCGAAACTTCCATCGAGTTGAAAGAAGAAAAACAAGTTTGGAGACAGGTAGGTGCAGCATCGCATGATGTGTGCAGCACATGGGACGACACGACACCTCACAACACATGGGTGCAACACATATGTTGTGAAGTGCCGTGCAGCATCGCATGATGGGTGCAGCATCGCATGATGGGTGCAGCATCGCATGATGGGTGCAGCATCGCATGATGGGTGCAGCATCGCATGATGGGTGCAACACATGGGACACCCTTTTTCTTAGAACCCTTTGCATCATGACGACACGTCACCTCACAACACAACATCGAACGCATTACCTTTCAAAAGACACTGAGAAACACTCCTGCTCGGGAAGAATTCAAAGACCACTGACATGGTTTGCCCCATAACGTGTGTGTGCACATGCTCACCCCATTCCACCGGATTACACCCCATTCCACCACTTTCCACCCCTCTGTACCTTTCCCTAACTGCTGAGAAACATCCACCCGGGACGAACTCAGAGACCATTGGAATGGTTTGCCCCATCATGTGTGCACATGCTCTGCCCATTCCACCACACTGCACTCCATTCCACCGCACCCCTCTGTACCTTCCCCTAGCCGCTGAGAAACATCCCCACCCCCACCCAAAACTAACTCAGAGACCATGGAGATGGTTTGCCTATCATGTACGCACATGACCACCCCATTCCACCGCATTCCACCCCACCCTACCTTTCTCTAACTGCTGAGAAACATCCCCGCCCGGGACGAACTCAGAGACCATGGAGATGGTTTGCCTATCATGTGCGCACATGACCACCCCATTCCACCGCATTCCACCCCACCCTACCTTTCTCTAACCGCTGAGAAACATCCCCGCCCGGGACGAACTCAGAGACCATGGAAATGGTTTGCCCCCACATGGCAATCCCCAGCAGCCGCAGCACGTTGGGATGGCGGAGAGCCGTCATCACCATGATCTCTGTCTGAGGGGGGAGGGAGGAGAGAGTAGTGGAGAGGGGCGGGTAAATCGGGTAGCAATAACACATCAGGTTAATAGCCGGAGAGTCGTCATCACCATGATTTCTGTCTGAGAAGGTAGGGAGGAGGGGAGTTGGGGAGGAGAAGAGAGGAGGGGGAGAGGGGAAGGGGAAGGGAAAGGGACAATGGCAGAGAGCCGTGATGACCATGATCTCCGTCTGAGAATAGGGGGAGAGGGGTGGAGGGTCAGGGGGGTGGAAAAGGCAATGGAAGGGACAATGAATGGCTGAGAAAGCAGGTCAAGTTAACTTGGGCAGAAGGAGGTGAGTGTGAAGCATGAGGAGCAGAGCAGGTGTACATGAAGCGAGTCACTTTCGTGAATCCCCAAAAGTGTGTGTGATGTGAAGCATGAGGAGCAGAGCAGTTGCACATGAAACGTGCACCCGAAAGTGTCAGGAGGAACTGGCTTATCGCTCCAGCATGGCAGGCAAAGGCTCACCAACAGAAGCATGGCATAAGCTCAACAGCAGCATGGCCTATACTCACCAGCAGCTGCTCTCTCCCCCCGTGCACATCGCCCTCTGTCAAGCACATCTTCACCGCCACCGCAACAAACCGCTTCCCATCCACCTCCACCACTTCCAACCCCTCCAATCCCTCCTCAACCCCCTCCCCCCCCTCCCCATCCTCCCCATCCCCTTCCCTATCCCCTCCCCTGCCATCTCCCCCGTCCCCGTCCCCTTCGCCCCCTTGGGGCAGCAGCAGCATGCCCTTGTAGACGGCGCCGAAGCCGCCTTCCCCCAGCTTGGTGCGCCAGTCGCCCGTCGCCCGCCGCAGCTCCTCCTGCGAGTACCGCGGCAGCGCGCCCTCCGCGCCCACCGCCTTCATTTCCACAGGCTTTAAATCATGATCTTTTGTTGGGGGAGACGAAAAGGTTGTGGGGGGAAAGAGGAGATAAGGCCGGGGAGGGGAAGGGGATGGGGCCAAGGGAAGCAGGGAGGGAGGAGGGAGGGGGTTTGTGGAGGGAAGGGGTTCTTGGAGGGAAGTGCGGTGCGTGGGGGAACGCCTTCCAGGCTTCTCCCAGCTTGGTGCGCCAGTTGCCCGTTGCCCACCACAGCTCCTCCTGTGAGTCCCACTGCAGCGCGCCCTCCGCCCCCACCACGCCCTCCGCCCCCACCGCACCCTCCGCCCCCGCCCCCACCGCGCCCTCCGCCCCCCGCCCCCACCGCCGCATCTCTTGAGGGTGACTCACCCGCGGCTCCACCGGGAGATGACGCCACGCCCCCGAGCCAGGAGGAAATGGACGGTACAAGAAGAGGAAAAAGGGGAAAGGGGAAGGTGGAAGGGGGGAAGGGGGAAGGGGGAAGGGGGAAGGGAGAAGGGGGAAGGGGGGAAGGGGGAAGGTACGGGAGGCGGGGAGTAAGTGGAGCGTGGGCGCACGTCAAAGAGCAAACGTCCCCTGAGGGTGACTCACCCGCGGCTCCACCGAGAGATGACGCCATGCCCCCGAAACAGGAGGAAATGGACGGCCTCTCTGCCGTCTCGTGGGCCGGCCGTTGTCCCGTCTCGTGGGTCGGGGTTCCTCCGAAGCAGGAACAGAAGTTCGGCATACTGAGGCTCAGGTTCGGAAATGGAAGATTGTGGTGGTAATTGGTGTGAATACGGTATGCTACGGTTGGCGCTGTTGCTGATCCAATTGTCAAGCCTAGCTCAAGTTAAAATCGACATGATGTTCTGAAACCGCGACTTCGTAAATGCGGAGACGATATATCCAGACCTATTTTACCTGTTCTGGTAACCTAGAAGGCATTTGTCAGTTGCGACCAATTTGTGCCTCCAAGCAGGTCCAGAAAATTTGTTCACAACTCATGCATAGATGTTCGGGCTGGTGCGTAGCGGTTCAGAGTGGTGAAATGTTTACACCTTCCCAACCGCTTGAGCTGAACCGAACGTGGTGAAACTTTCGGGCGGGACGACCCACCTTGAGAACATCCGTTGGTGCACTGTACTGCCTTGTCTCGAAAGCACAAATCGGTCTTTTCCCGCGCGATCGGAACTTGTGCATTTCTCGCGGCTCGATGTCTACAAACACAGTAAAACCAGCCACACGTCTGTTCTAGCCAAACAACCTCTCTGCGACCTTCACGAGTGAGTTGCTCGGTTTCGAAGGCACACTCCTCATAAGGGCGCGTGTGGTCTTAGAAATTTGTAAAAGTTTATGTTATTAGGGCGAATTTTAGTTTTGAACTTACAACGAAAGAAGTTCGAATTTCCTTCTAAGTTCGAACATCGGGCTTACCACACTGTAAAAAATCACACACACATACAAGGTCGAACCCCGACATTCGAACTTGTAAAAACGAGCCGAGCCGCACGTCAACATCATAGGTTACCCGGTTCGCTCGTCTTGACAGTGCGCCACGTCAACATTTTGCGCCTCGGTTTACAAGGACCTAAAGCTCCAACTCACCTTCCGCGCCGAGTGTGTAACCAGGGTACAAATAGCCCCCGTGGCAACACCTTGTATACTCGTCATCGTGACTGACGTCAAGACGGGCGGGACACGTTGCCACGTCGTGCTCGAACGTGTCACGATGCTGGACACGTGGCTACCACTGTGCGTCAGAATGTTATATTATCTAGCTTGTAGTGGGTGCTCTATAGCGAGCACAACCCAGTTAGGGTTTGCTATATGTATCCCAACTGCTGCTAGTGAAACCCCTCTTCTTTCATTTCTCTTTCGTGTACCCTAAACCTAGCCATAGCTTCTTAGCCTTAGCTTCTATTCTGACATGCTATTAGAGCCAGTACGCTCCTGGCCTGTGGGCCCACCTGCTTTCGCTGCTATCCTGTCTGTCGCGCGCCCCGTAGCGTGCGACGTTTATTTTCTTCCCGCCACGTGCTCGGGGCGCATGGCGGTTTTCTGCCCACCGCGCGCTCGGTGCGTGCGGCGGTTTTCTGCCCACCGTGCGCCCCGAGGCGCGCGGCCGTTTCCTGCTTCGCGCGGCGGTATTCTGCACGCCATGCGCTCGGGACGCGTGGCGGTTTTCTGCCCACCGCGCACCCTGGGCGCACGCGGCGGTTTCGCGTTCCGTCGACCCGCACGCCCGTCCCTGTCGACGTGCGTGCGGCTCCTCGTCGCCGTTCGTGGCGGCCCCGTCAACCCGCGCGCGGCTTTCTGTCGCCCTTCGTGGCGGCCCCGTCGACCCGCCTCCGGCGACCGGTGTGCCCGTTCCCGTCGACCTGCGTGTCGCCCTGCGGCCCCCCCTCCCCGCACACCTGTGGTTGCTAACCGCACACCCGAGTTCGCTTCCCGCACGCTTGTGCATGCTTCGCGCACACCTGAGCTCGCTTACCGCACACTCAGGGTATGGGGGTGACGGGTATGGGGGTGGCGGGTGTGCGCGGTCCCCTGCTCCTCCTCCTCCTCCTCCGTCTCCCGCTGCTGCAGCTGCCGCTGAGGGGGGTGGGTGTGTGGGAGACGAAGGAGTGGTGCTAGGGGGGTGACGTGGGAGTGGAGCTAGAGGTGAAACTGGGGGTGTGTGTAGGGGGGTGTGGGACTGTTTGGGGAGGCTGAGAGGAGGCTGCCGTCTTGTCGTCCGCAGCACCTGTAGTCTGGGGCGCTGTCCTGGTAGCCCAGAGAGCCTGCTGCGCCTGTCGCCCGTGGGTCCGTTGCTCCTGTAGCTCGTCGTAGCCCGTGAGCCAGTTACTCCAGTAGTCCGGGGCGCTGTCCCGGTAGCCACTGTGTGCGCGCTCCTGTTGCCCGTGTGACTGCAGCTTCAGCCGTCGTCTCCCATCTTCTCTCCCCTCACAATTCCTCCTCCTCCTCACTTGCCTTCTGTGATCGCCTCTAGCTTTGCTCATAATTGTGAACTTTAAACTATTGCTTCTTGTACTTGTGCTCAGAATGTGTGGTGACATTGTGATCCACCCTGAGCTTGTTTTGCTTTGCTTGCTCTGCTGATTACACCCCACTTTGGCTATGGGGTGTGTCAGAATGTTATATTATCTAGCCTGCAGTGGGGTGCTCTATAGCGAGCACAACCCAGTTAGGGTTTGCTATATGTATCCCAAACTGCTGCTAGTGAAACCCCTCTTCTTTCATTTCTCTTTCGTGTACCCTAAACCTAGCCATGGCTTCTTAGCCTTAGCTTCTATTCCGACACTTTGTGCACGAATTGTGGGGTGTCTTCATTGTGCAACTTCATGCACTGGCGAAGCGCTCGCCCGTTTTGCCAGCTGTTCGGACGTGCTGCAAATCACACACGCTCGCATAAACGTGCGCATGCACGTTCCCGCCTCCGACTCGAGTCAAGTTCATATTTCAAACTCGAACTTTTGCAGAGCCCATACAATGCTTGGCTCGCGAAGCACCCTCTGCGAAATTAGCGAATAGGGTAACCACCCAAAGTTTGAACTTTATTTTGAACTTCTAAACAGACCACACGCGCCCTAACGCTCCCTTCACGAGTGAGTTGCTCGGTTTCGAAGGCACACTCCTTATAACGCTACCTTCACGAGTGAGTTGCTCGGTTTCGAAGGCACGTTACTTATGACGCTACCTTCACGAGTGAGTTGCTCGGTCTGGGAGGCATGTCACTTACGACTCTACCTTCGCGAATGAGTTGCTCGGTTCACGTCAATTATGACGCTTGTTTTGTGCGTGCATACGCAGCCGTCAAAGCGTTTTTGCGTTCCGCGGGATTTTGGGGGATTCTCAGTGGCAAAGTCGAAGTGATCGACCCACTGGCCGTGGCTTGCGGGAAGATTCTGCATTCGTTGGTTTTCAATATCCAGCTCAGCGCCAAGTTGCCACGTTCTGTATTGCCGTCCTTGCGTTGTCGGACCCAACGGTAACAGAAAACGTCAAGACGGTATCGTACGACTGGGAAACATCGCACGGGCCACCGTGGCACGTTTCAAACCCATGGCTTCGATGCCGTTCGTGGGAGATCTGAAAGAAAGGACACACACTCAGCGTCGCAGGTTCCCCACGCTGGGCTCCGGGGCTTCAATTCATGGTCTGAATCGGGGGGGGGGGGGGGGGGGGGGGGGGGGAAGGGGAATGGTAGGTGTTGGGGGGGCGGGGTTGGTCATGCGAATACCCTCCCCACCGACCACATCGCCACGGGCATCAACGCACGGTCCTCTTGGGGGGGGGGGGGGGGGGGAAGTGTTGGGGGAAGGGGTCGTCCGCCAACACCACCCGCATCCCCACCTCGACCGTTGAATGACTCACCCGTGTGGACGGCAGCTGCACACATGGACGGCAGCAGGACACCGTGTGACATCTCTTCTCCGCGACTCGCGGACTCACCCATGGTTGCACAGGAAGACGACGGAAAGCCCCCAAAATAGGAAGAGAAGGATGGCCGTTGTGCCATCCCATGGGTCTGCACTCCCCCGAAGCAGAATGAGACGAACGGTCTTTCTGCCGTCTCGTGGGTCGCCCGTTCTGCCATCTCATCAGTCAGGATTGGGCCGCCGAAGCAGGAGAAAAAGGTTGGCATAACGAGGCGCGGTGCGTTTAGGAGAATCCTGGGAATTTATAACGGGGGCTCGAGAAGGGACGATCGCGTTGGGAAGCTGTGAGGATGCGGTATGTTGCGGCTGTCGCTCGTTTGATTGCCGAGCCTAGCTCAAGTTCATAAACGACACGGCATACTCAACCCGCGCACTTGTTATGCCACGCGTTAATCCATCTAGCCATTCGAAAAAATCAAGACCATGCTGAGAATCGACCAATTGCGTACGAGACGACCACAACCGTTTTTCATTACTCAAGGTGTTGTTGCGCTTCGGCGTCGATTTTTAGACGATTATTAGCTGCTCTAATACTTTGAATGCGTTTGTCCTGGTTGAAATGCTAATTGTGACGGATGTTTGAGGATGGCAAGTCTAAGTATCCGTTGAAATGCAGCTCAGGTAGCATTCTCAGGATCCCACAAACCAAAGTTTCCCCACGCGATTTGGTTGCACAGCAGTGTAATTGTAAGGAAAATTCCTTATCCTTACTTCGCATCCCTGCTCAACGCGTACATCACTGTAGCACCATAGTCAGCACCGTTACCACTCACAACCTTCGCATCGACAATCCGCCCGCCACCTTCGCACATCGCACCCCGACCTCACGGCTCGGCGGGTAACCCGCGCTCCGGGCCTCCGCTTCGACACTTTTTCCCAACCTCAGTCCCAGGCCCGTCGCGCGACAACCACAGTCCATTACCGTTACCACTGTAGTTTCGCTATATATTCTTCGCTCATGCCTTCGCTCATTGTACTCTTGCTTCGATAGTGCAATTCTCGTTCGTTCACTCAATTGCACTCGTAACACTTGGTATTCAGAGCCTACGATCTCCTCTCAAACCGCACCCACACCTTCGCTTCCCCACTATCTCAATTTTTTGGGGGGGGTAGACGTCTCTCAGCGACACAGCACCGCCGCTCGTAGTGCTCTCTCGTAAGCACGCACGGCCACGACCGAGGCTCTCGCTGAGCTCGCCTGACACCCCCGCCATGGCCGAATTCAGGCTCGCCACATTAACGCAGGAGCAGCTCGACCGTCTGGTGCGCCAACTTGAAGATTCGGTGCTCACGGCGGAATGTGACT